GGCAAATCCAGATCCCAATACTTGTCTTGGAGTGTTTGGCCTCAGTTTGTATACAACAGAGAGAGATCTTCGTGAAGTATTTTCTCGATACGGACCATTGAGTGGTGTCAATGTAGTTTATGATCAGCGAACTGGGCGATCTCGAGGATTTGCTTTTGTGTATTTTGAGAGAATAGACGACTCAAAAGAGGTAAATTTGTTTCTATAATTTTCATGTTGAAATTGTTTGATATGTATGATAATGGTATTGAATTATTATTAAAAGTTAACTTTTCAGGCTGGGGCTATAGCTGAGTGGTAGAGAAGTTATCTAACCTAAGTGAGGCCCTAGTCTACTTTACTGCAAAAAACAAAAAGGTTTTAATTCCTGTTTCTGTAAATATTACTTCTTTCTTTTTTTTTTTTTTTTTTTTGTCTGTCTGATTTAAACCCAGCCTGTCACTCTGTTAGCATACCCACAGTTTTGAGTTTTCATTTTTTTCTGATATAGTTATATCCTGAATGAAATCTGTCCTATTGTAAGTGAACTATATTTGTTAGTGGAAAAAGTAAAGTGTGTGTTTTCTTTATACTGTTTTGAAATTCTGTAGTTGAAAATGAATGTTTTAAAAAAATTTTTTAATCATTTATGTATGTATTTATTTGGTACAAGGTCTCACTACACAGCTCAGACTCGTAGTGATCCTCCTCTCTCAGCCTCCCCAGTGCTGGGATTACAGTCATGCTCCACCATAACCAGTTTCCGGGGCCATCACGGCATGCAGTATTAAGGATCAGACTCTGGCCCTTGCGCTTGCCAGGCAGGCACTTAAAGCACGGACCTATCTCCCCAGCCCAAAAATGAAATACTGATACTTGTAACATAAGCAGTCACAGCAAAAATTGGTTTAATTAAAACTTTGGAATCAGGCATGAATACAGCATGCCTGTAGTCCTAGCACTCTGGAATCTGAGGTAGGAGGATCACTGGATTCAAGGCTCGCCTGAGCTACATAGCAAGACCCTAGCTCAAAGAAACTTTGGAAATATAAATCAGCACTAGTGGGTAGAAGCCAGAGATTCCACTAAATATTTTACATACATCACTGCAGTGTGCTGAGTGTGGACACATTCCTATAATCCCAGATGCTCTAGAAGCTAAGGTGCAAGGCCCATTTGAACCTGTATTTTTGAGCCAGCCAGTGACACCCTGTCTGTAAAAAGGATAGTCATGTAGTATACACAGGCTGACTCTTTATAGCGTAGTCAGCAGGCCAAACATGTTAGTAGGGCCAAGGTTGACAGAAACCCTGAATAAATCTAACAAACAATACTTCTCTCTGTAAGTCATTTATGTAACAATCTAATGTCTTAATTCCATAATATCATGACTGTTTGTTACATATGTGTGATTTGTTTGTTCCTGTCCACAAAGGTAAAACTGTGATTTAGCAATATTAGAACATGCCTAGTGTGGTGGTGCATATGTTATTTTAGCACTTAGAAGATTGAGGCCAGTGGACCACTGTGAGTTCAGGGCATGTCTGGACTACATAGTAAGATCCTCTCTCCAAAAAGTAGAGAAATACTGTAGAGCCAGCCATTGTAATGTTAGCACTCTGGGAGGCTGAAGTAGGGGGATCACATATATGATACCAGACTGGGCAACTAAGTTAGGGAGGGGGACCCTGTCTCAAAATTTAAATTAAAAAAAAAAAAACCTTGGGAGTATGGCTTAGTGTGAAGGCTTGGTTTCAGTTGTCCTCTTGCTTTATTTCTGGATAAAATAAGAATAATTCATGGGTTCTAAAAACTTGTTGTAGGGGGCATGCTGGTTGGCTCAGTTGTTTAAGCACCTGCTCATGCAAATGCATTCAGGTGCAGGATTAGGCAGTTTGATCTCTACCATTAAGGCAGCCTGAGCCAACCAAAATAAAAAATCTTTCTCAACTTTTAGGCCAGGGAGATAGCTCAGTAGAATAAGTGCTTGCCTGGCAAGTGCAGGGTCCTGATTTCAATCCCCATCACCACCTAAAATCAATCAATCAATAAATCTTGTTGTAAATATTTCCATAAATGATCAGATTGATTGTGACTCATGCATAAGGGCAAAGCCATGGATGGGAGGGAGTCTATCAGCTCAGGTATAAAGACATACTCCTTTCTATTTGGTGCTCACTAGGTGGCGATGTAACAACTTAAGTGATGTTAAGTTAGTTGCAGTTGTAACCGCCAAACTTCAGTTTTTAGCTTGAGTTACCCAGACTACCAACCTCAGAATTAATACAGGCTTCCTGAGTTGTATGCTACCTTCTCTGTAGCTGTGACTGTTCCCAGTCTGTTTTTGCTTAGATCTTCTGAAATGCTTTGACTAAAGTGTCTATGTTGCAAAAGCCAAGGCTATTGACAAGCATAAAATGAGAATTGGTAAATATGTATAATTCATGCCAATTTGAGAAAAAGCTGTAAAACAAATCTGAATTTTTATGTTTTGGGGTTGGTTTTTTTTTTTTGTTTACTTTATTTTATTTTTTTTTTTTTGAGACAAGCTCTCAATATATAGTCCAGGGTGTCCTTAAATTCACTATGTAACTCAGGCTGTCCTGGAGCTTGTGGCAGTCCACTTGTCTCTGCCTCCCAGGTGGTGAGACTACAGGTATGGTGTGCACCTATGCATCCAGAAGAAACTCTGATTTTGAAGTTATAATCGTGATTGTGTAGGACTATAACATCTGGGGGGGGTATACACGTATAGGGAATCAAACTCTGGACCTCACTCAGCACTGCATGCTAAACTGTAACTCTGGTCTTTTTTTTTTTTTTTTTATTTTGAAACATAGTCTTGGGACTGAGGAGATAGCTCAGTTGAGTAAGTGTGTACCTGGCAAGCCCAAAGACCTGAGTTCAATCTCCGGTTCCCACCAAAAAAGAAAAAGAAATAGTCTTGGGCCAGCAAGATAGCTCAGCAGGCTAAAGCACCTGCTTAGGCAAGCGCAGAGTCTGTGGTTCAATCCCCAGTGCCACATGCCGTGCAAGCCCTGACCTCAAGGTAGGCCGAGCCAGCCAAAGTCCAGATGTGTGGTACACATCTGTAATCTCAGCACTGGGGAGGCTGAAAGCAGGAAGACCATTATGAGTCCAAGCGTAGTGAGACCCTGCAACAACCAAATACATTTAAAAAGAAGAGAGAGAGAGAGACATAGTCTTACTAAGTTGCCAGGGGGTGTCATATCTCAGATCCTTTGTCAGTCTCCTTAGTAGCTAAGATTACAGAACTGTACCTCTGACCAGAAAGAAGTGTAGCCTTGAATTGGTGGAGTTTAATTGATTAAATAGGAATTAGAACCAGATGTAGTATGCACTTAAAGCGTCAGCACTCTGAGGCTGAAGTGGAAGGATCACAATTTCAGGTTCAGTCCCAAACATTTAACAGCTTAGACCCTGTCTCAGAATTTAAAACAAGAGCTGGGATGTAATTCAATGTCAAAGCCCAGTATTCAATGACCAGTGCTGAAAAATGGAAGAAAACAGGTGTAGTAGCAGCACACGTCAGTAGTCCCAGCTACTCAGGGCACAAAGTAGGAAAAATTATAGGCTCAGTACCAGCCAGGAGATGAGAGAGACATGTCCTCCCTTTGTACCCACCTTCAAAAAAGGCTCCCAGGTGTTGGTCAGTTCTTTCTAGGTTAAATTCATGTGCTTTATTGGTTTATTCTGAGTAAAAAGCTGAAAACTGTTGCAGAGAGAGAGATTGAGATTGTAAATGTTTCTTTTTTTTTAAACATTTATTTATTTGTGTGTGTGTGTGTGTGGCCAGCTCAGCCCACCAGGGGGCGGGGCTGGCTGGCATGTGGTGCTGGGGGATTGAACCGCGTTCCCTGTGCATTGCCAAGCTTGTTTCAAGTAGGTGCTTTAGACCACTGAGCCATCTCTCCAGCCCCTAAATGTTTCTTTTTTGGTTTTTTTTTCTTTTTTTTTTTTTTTTTTTTGGCGGAACCGGGGATTGAACTGAGATCCTTGAGTATGCCAGTCAAGCGCTTATCCTACTGAGCTATCTCCCCAGCCCCTGTAAATGTTTCTTCTTGGAGAGTTAAATATGTTCTAGCCATGCATGATGGCCTATAATTGCAGAACTTGGGAGATTGAGACAGGAGGATTGCCATGAGTTTGAGGCTAGCCTGAACTATATCATAATGAGACCCTGTCTCCAAAAAAGAAGATAAGCTTTAAATATGGGGGTGGAGAGATGGCTCAGTGGGCTAAGCACCTGCCTAGCAAGTGCAAGGAACCAAGTTTGATCTCAGGTACCACATGCTGTGCTGTCCCAAAATGGAGCGTGGTGGTGCATACCTGTAATCCCAGCAATGGGGAGGCTGAAATAGGAGGATCACTATGAAGTCCAAGCTGTGTAGCAAGACCCTCTCTCTATGAAATAATAGTAGTAATAATAATAATACGTTCTACATAGTACAGAGGTCCAGAAATGTCTGTGTAGGGTTTTTTTTATGTAGTTTTTCTATAAGCTATTTGTCATTTTCAAAATTTATTTGGATTCCAAATACTTTATGCTTAAAGTAATAATTACTGCATATGCTTAATTTTAAGTAATAATTACTGCAAGACTGATAAAATAAAGTATGACTTTCAACATTTTTTTTTTTCTCCTTTATAGGCTATGGAAAGGGCAAATGGAATGGAGCTGGATGGTAGAAGAATTCGTGTGGATTATTCTATCACTAAGAGAGCACACACACCTACTCCAGGCATCTACATGGGCAGACCAACTCAGTAAGGCTTCAGATTTCTTAGGGCTAGAAATGTAGCTCAGGGATAGAGAGCTTATTTACCCATGTACAAGGTGTCCTGTACCACCTTGCACACCTGCCCTGTCAGATTTCCAGAGTTGAACTATAAGAGCCAGAGGTCTACAAGAATGTGTGACTTTTTAGCCAGATATGGTAGAGCTTGTCTATAATCCTAGCACTCAGACTGAGGCAGGAGAGTTTCCGTGAGTTCAAGGCCAACCTGGACTACATAAAGAGACCAAGCCCAATTTGAACTACATAACAAGATCCTGTCTCAAAAATGTGAATTTTTAGGGGCCAGGGAGATGGCTCAGTGGAATAAGTGCTTCCCTGGCAAGCGCAAGGGCCTGAATTCAATCCCTGCTTCTGCCCAAAAAAAAAAGAATTTTGGATTACTTAGAAGATATTTTTTTTTGGGGGGGGGGCTGCCCCTTAGCTCAGTTCTTTAAGTGGCTGCTTCAACAAAGCAATCAGGCTCAGGGTGCTGTGGTTTGATCCCCACAACTCAAGCCAGCCAAACCTGCCCTGAAGGCATTTGGAGCCCAAAACAAGATAATTTTTTTCCCTGTAAGAATTTTTAAAATAACTTGTTGGGGCCAGGGAGATGGCTCAGTGGAATAAGCGCTTCCCTCACAAGCGCAAGGGCCTAAGTTCAATATCCGTTCCTCAAATACATACATACATACATACATACATACATACATACATACATACATACATAGATAGATAGATTAAATAACTTGTTACAGTCTTTGGATCAGTTATTTTAAAAATTCACAATGTAAGTAACGTTGGTTTTATTTATTACAAATACATGAATATTCTTCTATATATATTTGAGTAGGAGGATAAATTAAAACTCAGTTCTAGAGGGGCCAGGAAAGATAGCTTAGCAGTGTTGTGCCTGCCTGTCAAAGGCAAGGACCCAAGTTCGATCCCCAGTACTGTATGCTTTGCCAGCCCTGTCCTGAGTCAGCCACTGAAACCAAGCGGCACACGCATGTAATTCCAGCACTGGGGAAGCTGAGGATCACTACAAGTCCAAGCTGCATAGCAAGACCCTATACCAAATAATGAATTTAAAAAAAAACTCAGCTCAGCAGCACAGCACCTGCCTGGCAAGCACAAGGTTTTAAGTTTGGTTCCTAGTACCAAAAAAATCCCCCTCGGTTCATTCTCTTGGTAGTGTACAAATAGAAAAATTACTGAATACTAGAAAATAGTGTACTATTCAAAAATGTATTCTTTTCTGTTCTTCAGTGACCCAGGGGTCTTTATTTTTTTGTATTTATTTATTTATTT